TGAACAACTTTTACTTAATAAGCTTTGTCAATTTACTCAATAAAATTTTGATTTTATTATAGAATAACTACTGATAATTTTATATGTATAAGTATTAAACTATATAAAATTTACTTAAATTTGATTGGCTAGTTAGTATCAGGTGGGGGAGAGGGAGTACCTTCTTAAAAGGCAAAAATTACCTGATAAATATCTATACCCTTACAATTCTTACTTGCAATACAAATGGTCTAATAAATCTAATACTAAAACTGATTCTTTAATGCCAAAAGAAATATCAAGACTGTTGTATAAAAAAATTTTAGCTGCAAATACAAATAAATGTTTAAAAAATGATTCAATAGGTACAGATGACCCTCATAAATATCAACCCATTTGGATTGATTTTAAATCTATGTTGATAGTGATATCAACAAGGGATTATATTTAGAGTTGATATGTATAAGGGAATTTTAATATATAAAAATATATAAAAATTTGGTTTGTAGCTTAGGTTGATATTAATGAAGTTGATATTAACGAGAGTCCTCTGTATTGATTTTGAATATGAGCTTTTAATTAATACTATGGATGGTGATTTGAAAACATTATCAAAAAAAATTGTTGAACTAATAGACAAGAGTGATAGATATTATTATATTTATAAAAATTCTTATAATTCAAAAAAATTATCTAATATTTTAACCTTCTGGTATAAATGCTCTCAATGCTGATCATTTGCAAAAAAACTTAGGAAACATAAATCTGTTGAAAACCAAAGAGATCGAATGTCAATTAAGTGATTTAGTTGTGATAGATTAGTTAAAGTTAGTATTTATATAAAAGTTAAAATGCATTAATTCATCTTCAGTATTCTATGATTCATAAATGGCCTGAGCAATTCAATATCAATAAAAGTATTAAAGAAGTAAATTGAAAAAATATACATCTTGCTTCAGGTTACATTTATTGAATATTAGAATATGAAAATCTCAATTTAACTCAAAAGTAAATACATGCTTAGTAGTTGATATTAATTAAATAAGAATATATTAAAACAGTGCAGATTAATTAAATTCTGCTGAAATTCTCTTAAAAGATTATTGCTAAGTAATTATAAGAAGAGAATTAAATTTTTTAGCTTTGTAATACCATTTTTAAGATTATTACAAATCAGAAGGTTATAGTTGATGCAATATACAAGATGAATATTCTTGGATATGAACTTTATGCTATTATTGGTAGGGTTGGCAAAGTTCTTAGATCTGGGACTTTAGAACCTGGTCTTTGGATCTAATTTTTAAAGACCAGGTCCTGATTTTAGAACCTAAGTCTATAGATCCTTAAAAAAGTTCCAATATAAAAATATATAATACATAGTATATATATATATACAGTACATATGTATATACATATATATATATTTCCTATTATTACAGAATTTAGGTCAATCCAGAACTGGCACATATCATTCTTGAATTATGAAATGAAGTAGGTTATTTAAGAATCAGTATCTATTTACTGATTAAAAAAAAGTAAAAAAATAATTTAGAAACATAAATTAAAATAAAATAAATTTAAGAAATAAAAAGTGAATGAAAATAGATTATTAGATGCTCTTTTAATATTAATTGCTAGCTAAATTTCATATATTAAACAAAAAATTAATTAATTTAAGAAATAAAAATGATTAAATGCTTATCTAACATTAATTGCTAGCTAGATTTTGAGTATAATGAATTCCTTTTTCTGCAAGAACATGATTTTGTGCCACAATTTGTTTTTTTTAGCAATAATAGGTATCTTGTCAGGTGTCTTGGACCAATATTTATTATTTGTACCACTAATGTTACAAAATTATATAACTAATAATAATAATATTATTATTATATTTTTTTTTATTACTTACTTAAGAAACATATTTAGTAAGTACTCACTAACACTATGAACTTGACCATCTTGAAAATTATAGATTGAACATTTGTAATTATTATTAGTTGATCTTATATTATTATGAGTTGGGCATGTAAAGTTTTGTTTAGCACCTGCTTTTCTTAAACAAAAGTGTGTTTAGTAATACAACATTGAGATTAAAATAATCAAGAGTATCCAGTGGTTCAAGTTTATTTGCCGAGTACCAATTGTTGAGAACCCCAAATTTGCAGACAACTTGATAAGAATTATGGTTAGGTTTCCTTTGAAGAATCTTGCATAGTAGAGATCTTTGATCTATCTTTAATTTATTAATGTTGAGAATATAAATTTTTATTAAATTACCAGGTTCATATGTTTGATTTTGTTTTGTTTAATACTTTGCTTCCATTTTGTTTATAATAAATTTATTGTTTCTTTTAACATTTAAAAGAGCTGAAAGTATTGAGCTAATTTAATTTAAATTTTGTTTAACCACATAAATTTATTTATTAAAGTTAATATAATACACTTGAATGTGATTTAGAAAACTTTTAAAAACAATAGGGCGCATAGGTGAAACTTTTTAGAAATATGTCAAATAATATATACTTTGCATTAATTGATTACATTCTACTAACTGCTGGGAAATATAGCAATATAGCAATATTTAACCTGAATCTAATAAAAAGATTTTTATTATTATTGTTATTTATTTTTATTTTTTAAAAAAACATATAAATTTATCTTTTTTCAGCTTTTTTATGGTCACTGTGCTCATTGCTTGATGGGCAGTATAAATTATTTCGTAAAAATTTTCAATATAACAAACTTATATCTTCAAGTTATTCTTATCTTGTTTAAGCAAATGCAGTTTTATTGTTGCAACAATACAATAAACTTCAAAAATATTGATCACCAATATTTGAACTTTCATTACACTAAAGATCTATTAATGAATATCTCTAATATTCAGTTAGAGATTTCACAAATTATAAAGTTATATTCTTGTGAATCTATAGGAGTTGATAAAAATATATAATAAAAGCTGTAAAAGTCAATTTGAATATAATAAATAAAAAAAATAAAGCATGCAACAATAAAGAATTGTTTTTATAAATATCATTCTAAAAATCAATATAAATATCTATGTAAATATATAATTATTAATTTATTATCATTATTATAAAATACATAATTATTATTATTATTATTTATAATTATTATTGTTATTACATATGAATCGACTTGAGCTATTTCACAATTGGTGAAAATCAAAAAATAATATACACTGATTCTGGCTTGACCTACTATTTAGTTATATAGTAATGATTTTAAAGATTTTTTAATTAAATATGAATCCAAAATTATTTAAGTTTATATATTTGGAATTCATAGCCAGCCATGGCACCCAACCAAATGCAAGAGTTTGGTGATAAATATTCTTGAACATGTTGGTTAACCATACTCTCCATTTTCACTTACAGAAAACTCTGTTCCCCAGTATTAATAACTAAGTAAAATTTTGTCAATATATAAAGTTATATGCATAAATAAAAATAGAATTTATATCAATACTAATATAAAATTTTAATAAAATTCTGAAGTAACTGATATTTATTAATTATCTAATATATTGTATATCTTAATTACTTTATATACAATATATTGCAGACCTAAGTTCTTGGACTAAGTCTTGGGTTCTGGGATTCTGAAACTAGATTCTGAATTCTGGAACTAGATCTTGGACTGGACTTAGGTTAACTCAAGTCCTAGGACTAGTTTATAAAGACTTAGTCTGTAAGTTTATATAGTAAAACTTATGGGTTATAGGACCAGAACCAGACCAGGACTGGACTTTACCATCCCTAATTATTGGGCAATATGATGGAGCAGGTTTTGCACTAGCTTATCTATTTGTAGAAGACCAAAATAAAGCTGATGAGCACATATTGAAATTTTAGCTTTATTTTTTAAAGCATTATATGATTTAGAAATAAAAGATATTGATTTTTTTTTTGACGGACAAAGACTTTTCCCAAATTTTAGCTGCTTAACAAATTTGACCACATGCCAAAGTACAATTATACCTTTGGTATATAAAAAAAGCATTAAAAAAGCATCTTTCTGATAATACACAGCCTAAAATAATAACTTACTGTTCTAATTCAGCACATGATGTATTTAATTTTATTGATATAAATTTTTATCTAACATTGTTACCAAAAATGAATGACAAAAAAAAGCTAAAAATAGCTTTATTTTTTGTCTACAAGATTTATGACCAAAGTGGAGGTACGTACATACATACGTATGACATAATAACTAATGATTATTATTAACAATTACGTATTAATATGCACTATATACGTACATACATATAGTATGTAACAATTGTTAAATTTTTAACGATTAAAAACTATGTATTAATAATAAAAATTATTAAAATTTTAGAAACTCATATATATCGACATACATTAATTCCTAATATTAATAGTAACTATTTATTAGCTAAAGAAATTTGGAGAGAATTAGTACAGGAAATTTATGAATTCTGCATTGCAAACAATTTGCCAAATGTGTAAGCTTACTTGTGATCAAGTTGGTATAGAAAAGAGATCTGAGTTTTGTGGATACGATCAGCTGCAGAAAACTTTGTATATTTCATACAACAATGCTTATAGAATCCTATTGAAAAGTCATAAAACGAGATTATTTACCAAAATTTTTCTGACCACAGCTTGATTTAATAATTTATATTTTCTTAACTATTTGATTCCACATTGTCTACAGCAATACAATAAAGATTTAAATGGCCGTGAAAAACCCTCCTGGAGCAAAGACTTTAAAAAAAAATAGAATGACTTACAAAAAAAGAAGATTAATAATAAATATTTTACCAATACTAAAAATGGACATGTTCTTGCTTGGGTTTTTTGAAAAACTGGTTTTTTCTTTGCAAGCACTTAATTTATTACTCTCAATTTATAAATGTTGATCCTTCTTTTTTTTACCAAGTTCAATGGCAAGGCATATATCCATTTATATTTTTACCGATATCATTATCAACTAATACTAATAAAGGTAAATATTTAAGTATATATTATTTTATAGATTTAATATATATATGCTAATTATATGTATATATAAATTTAATTATATAGAAACTATATCAGTATTAAATGATTTGACAAATACTGCATCTTTTCAACCTACGAATTTGACAAATGGTAATGATGATTATGACCAAACGACACAACTGTTTCAACATTATAAATTAATTTTAAATTAAGCATTAAGAATCATAGAAGAACAAGAAAATATTGGCAATAAACAGTGGGCACAAGCAGTTCAAACAAGTTTCGAGGGTGTAAATAAGTTGGTCAACGATATTAATAATTATCAAAGACGAATTACAAATCCGTGTACCTGGAAAGATCACAATAAGCATACAATGTTTTTAGAATAGCTATAAAATTCGTGAATGCTTGCTTGTAATATTCAAATATATTTCGAGTGCGTAATAATTTATAATATAAAATATTTTAATTTGCTGCTTTGTAATTTATTAAAAGTTTCTATAAATATTAATTTAAACGTAAGTCTAATATTATGTTCGAAGTATTTAAGATTTTATTTAAGTAATTATCTAAATTTATAAAAAAATGTATATTTCGAATTGCAGTCTTAAATTAAAAAAAATATATATACGAAAATATTACTATTTTGTTGTATCGGAGCTCGGAGCTAAAAATGATCAATCACATGATTTACGTAGAATTTTTCGAGGTGCTCTTGGGGTAGTTTATGATCACAACCATTAGTTTGATTTGGATTATCTCACACCCAAATATCATGCCCACCTCCAAAAATTGGTCCATAACCAGAAACACAACGAATTGCACGTTGTGGAACTTTCACACGACTTAAGATGGAAGTTTGAATAGTACCATTTTTCGATGAAAAATAAAGCTATCATTACAATTTACATAAACACCACTACTTGATTTATTCCACTTTATCGGATTATATCCACCAAGAATTTCATCAGTGCCATTAACCTTCATTACTACAACAGTGTTTGCTTGCTTGTCAC